CTAAAGAAGAAATGAAAATGACCAACAAGTATATGAAAAAATGTTTAACATCACTTTTTTTTTTTTTTTTTTTGAGACAGGATCTGGCTCGTCACCCAGGCTGGAGTGCAGTGGTGCGATCTGGACTCACTGCAACCTCCACCTCCCAGGCTCAAGCCATCCTTCCACCCCAACCTCCTGAGTAGCTGAGACCACAGATGTGTGCCACCATGCCTGACTAATTTTTGTATTTTTTGTAGAGACAGGGTTTCGCCATGTCGCCCAGGCTGGTCTCAAACTCCTGAGTTCAAGTGATCTGCCCACCTCAGCCTCCCAAAGTGCTGGGATTGCAGACGTGAGCCATTTCATTTGGCCCTAATATCACTAATCATCAGGAAGATGCAAATCAAAACCACAATGAGATATCATTTTACCCTAGTTAGAATGGCTATTATCAAAAAAGACAAAAAAATAACAAGTGCTGGTGTGGATGTGGAGAAAGGGGAAGTCTTATATACTGTTGGTGGGAATGTAAATTTGTATTGCCACTATGGGAAACAGTATGGAGGTTCCTCAAAAAATTAAAAATAGCTTGTAATCCAAGCACTTTGAGAGGCTGAGATGGGAGGATTGCTTGAGCCCAGGAGTTCAAGGTTGTGATGAGCTGTGATTACACCACTGCACTCTAGCCTGGACAACAGAGAGAGACCCTATGTCAAAAGAGAAAGAGAAGAACAGAAAGACAGGAAGGAAGGTGGGAGGGAGGGAGAGAGGGAAGGAAGGAAGGAAGGAAGGAAGGAAGGAAGGAAGGAAGGAAGGAAGGAAGGAAGGAAGGGAGGGAAGGAAGGAAATGGAAAAGGAAAAAGGAAAGGAAGGTACTATGATCCAGGAAGGAATAGAACTACTATGATCCAGTAATCCCACTACTGGGGATATATCCAAAGGCAATGAAATCAGTATGTCAAAGAGACATCTGCAGTCCTATGTTTATTGCAGGGCTATTCACAATAATCAAGATATGGAATCAGCCTAAGTGTCCATGGTGGATGAGTGAAAAAGAAAATGTGGTACATAGAAACAATGGAATACTATTAATCCATGAAAATACAAAATCCTGTCATTTGTGGCAACATAGATGGACTTGGAGGACATTATGTTATGTGAAATAAGCAAAGCACAGAAATTCAAATACTGCATGATCTTATTCTTATGTAGAATCTAAGAAAATTATTCTTGCAGAAGTAGAGAGTAAAACAGTTGTTACCAGAAGCAGGGAGCTAGGGGTGAGGAGTCGGGATAGGGAGAGATTAGTCAACAGATACAAAGTTATGGTTAGATAGGAGGTGTTCTATTGCACAGTAGGAGGGCTGTAATTAATAGTATTGTGCCAGGCACAGTGGCTCATGCCTGTAATCCCAGCACTTCGGGAGGCTGAGGCAGGAGGATGGTTTGAGCCCAGGAGTTCAAGACCAACCTAAGCAACATAGGGAGACCCTGTCTCTACAAAAAATAAAAAGTTAGCTGAGGTGGAGCATGCCTGTAGTCGCAGCTACCTCCCACCTCAGCCTCCTACCATGCTGGGATTATAGGCTTGAGCCACTGCTCCCGGCCTCGCTTTGGGCTTTTCTTTCTTTCTTTTCTTCTTTTTCTTTCGAGACAGAGTCTCACTCTGTTGCTCAGGCTGGAGTGCAATGGCTTTATCTTGGCTCACTGCAACCTCCGCCTCCCAGGTTCAAGTGATTCTCCTGCCCAGCTTCCCAAGTAGGTGGGATTACAGGCGCCTGCCACCAAGCCCGGCTAATTTTTGTATTTTTAGTAGAGATAGGGTTCCACCATGCTAGCCAGGCTGGTCTCAAACTCCCGACCTCAGGTGATCCGCACACCTCAGTCTCCCAAAGTTCTGGGATTACAGGTGTGAGCCACCGTGTCCGGCTCTCTCTGGCTTTTCTAAGCTCTCTCCATTAGTCCTTACAACAACCTTGTGAATTAGGACTCAATACCCCAATTCTACAGAGGAGGAAACGAAGAAGTTGCGGGGGTTGGCTTCCTTGGGCCGGGCCAGGGATTCTGCAGAAGCGGCAGAGGTATCCCCGTGTGGCGTCCAGCTTGGAGAATGGGGCACGGTAGGGGCACACTCCTGGTGAGGGTGAGAGATCGCTTACAAGGAACTGAAACATTCAAACTTATTTAAGGGGAAAGGAAAGAGGGAAGAGAGAGAGAGGGACGGAGGAAGAAGGGATAAAAGAAAGACGATATGGGGGGATTTATGGGAGGATTCAGGGATCTCTGCCACCGAGAGTCCACTCAGGCCCCCCAGTCCCCATGCCGTCCCAGTCAGCTGCAGATGCTAAATTCTCCTCAGCAGCCTGATCTGGGGGAGGGCACTCTAGGAACACGAGATTGGGCCTGTGATGTTGGGCACGTGACCAGGCGGTGCCCAGAGCTCTGCTGACCGCACGGGTGACCTCAGTGAGGAGCTGCCCCACTTAGGCCCTCATGCCTGTCTTCTGCCAAGTGAGGGCTCTGGCTCTCGGCTGAGAAGATCCGTGACCCATCCGCTGTCTCTAATTAATAATGACAGCAGCACGGCTTCCCGAGCACTGCACTGTGGCCCTGAGATCAGTGCAGAGCCGGCTGCCTGGGCTCCAATCCCCACACCACCACCTTCTAGCTCTGTGGCCTGAATGAGTTTCTTAATGTCTCCAAACCTTCATTTCCCATCTGTGAAATCGGGATATTCTAGCTCTCACATAGACTTTCGAGGATCAGCCGAGCTCATGCGTCAGTGGAGAGCTGGGGACACAGTAAGCCCTCTTTCTACAGATAGTTTTTTGCCATCCTCAGCATCATGGTTCTGTTCATTATTCTTATTCCTACAACACTACCAACACTGAGGACATACCAAGCACGGTACTAAATGCCTTCTTAACTCGTTAGTCCCAATGGCCCCAGAGAGGAGGAGACCGAGGCTCTGAGAAAGCACTCGGCTGCCCACATCAGACCCCTGGTCCACGGCAGAGCCCTGCCCACCTGCCGAGCTGTGTGACTCCCAGACCTCACTAAGCCAGAGCCCCACAGTCTTCCAAAGACAACAGAATCTTCCCACGTTCAGTGGGAGGAAGGAGGAGGTATTTATTGGGCACCTATTGTGTTCTCATGATGAACTTTAAGCTTTACACCTGACATAGGTGGTTGGTCTAATTATTTTCAAGGTAGAGAGGAGGAAACTGAGGCAGAGAGGTTCTGTAGCTTACCTACTGCTGCATGGTAGCACCACGCTGCCCACACTGGGGCATCTGGCATCTGACATCAGAGCCAGGAGCTTCCCAGACGGGAGCGCTGTGGTGTCTGAGTGTGCGGGTGGGAGCGTATCAGTAGGGGGTCAATGTTTGTCTCCTCCTTCCTCCCACTGAACTGACCGCAGGGTGTGGGCATGCATGTGTGAGAGTGTGCCCTGGGGGGTGTGTGTGTGTGTGTGTAAGAGAGTGTGTGCTGGTGTGTGTGTGTAAGAAAGTGTGTGCTGGGGTGTGTGTAAGAGTGTGTGCTGGTGTGTATGTGTGTATTAAGAGTGTGTGCTGGTGTGTATGTGTGTGTTAAGAGTATGTGCTGGTGTGTATGTATGTAAGAGATTGTGTGCTGAGTGTGTAAGAAAGTGTGTGCTGGGGTGTGTGTGTGTGTGCTGGTGTGTGTATGTGAGAGAGATAGTGTGGTATGTGTGTGAGAGGAAGAGCGTGTGTGAGAAAATGTGTGCTTGCGGGTATGAGAGAGAGGGAGAGATGGGGGAGAATGTGCCTGTGAGAAAGGTATGCTGTGTATGTGTGTGTGAGTGTGTATGTGTGAGAGTATGAGAATGTGTAGTGTGTGTGTGCATGAGTGTGTGTGTTCGTGTGTGTGCATTTGTGAGAGAGTGGTGTGTGTGTGTGCTGGGTGTGTGTGTATGTGAGAGAGACCAGGAGAGTTAGTGTGTGTGAGAGAGGGAGGAAGAGTGTGTGAGAGAATGTGAGAGACTGTGTGCTTGCGGGTGTGTATGTGAGAGAGGGGGAGAGTGTGAGAGGTTGTGTGCCTGTGAGAAAGGTATACTTCTGTGCGTGTATGTGTTGAGTGTGTGTGTATGTGAGACAGAGTGTGCGCGTGTATGTGTATGTGTGAGAGGAGGAGAGTTTGAGAGAGAGAATATGTGTGGTGTGTGTGTGAGTGTGTGGCCACGGATGGGGGCCCCTGTCTCCTGGGTTCCTTATATCAGGGACAGTGTCTGTGGGGTGTGGGTGGGAGTCACGGGGAGGCCTGGGAGCGGGAACTGGGAGCAGGCACCAGCCTATTAATGCCGCCCTCCTGAGGTGGGTGCAGATAAGTGGCCCCAGGGGGACGGGCCATGGGGCTTGTTGCCATGGGGATGCTAGCTGTGAATAGAGGCCTAGAAGTCCAGCTCAAGCCTCCCCTTCCTGGCAGGAGAAGACCCCCAGCTGGGATGTGTTTGTCTGGGAAGGGAACTGAAAGGCCATCCCGTCCACGCCCCCGCCGCCATTATTTAAAGCAAAGGCCTCCGTTCCTTCCATTTTCCCTCAGGAGGGCTGTCCTGGGTCAAGGGAAAAAATGGCTGTCTTGATGGTCCCGATATTGGGGAACGGTGGGTCCCCTTGCGGTTGGGTGACCAGGGCAGGCAGGGAAACACATGTGGTTACGCAGCCACACCTGTGTTCTAGACCGTACAGCCAACCCCATCCAGAGACCAGACCCCTGCTGGCATCGGGGACGCCGAGAGGTTCGGGTGGGTTCCCCAGCAGGGGCAAGATTATATGAAAACCACCAGCTCTCCCGAGGTGGGCTCTACCTGGAGTCAGGACACCCGAAGGTTTTCGTTAATGTTTTCTTGTGAAAATTTTCAAACATTAAAAGCCGGAGAGAGCATTTAATGAACCCCGAGTACCCACCACTCAGTTGCAACAATTATTAGCTTTGTCCATCTCGTTTCATCTGTCCTCTGTTTTTTCTTGTTTTTTTTTTTTTTTTTTTTTTTGCCAGGGAAGTTGAAAGCAAATCCCAGATATCAGATGATTTCGTGTGGAATGACTGCAGTAAGTACCTCTCAGTAACTGGCCATGCCAGGATCATACCTGAGGAAATGAACAGTAATCCCATGGTGAGTGTCAGCTGATGCTCAGTCCCTCTTCACCTGCACCCCGCCTCCCTCCGTAAATATGTAAACCCACACTGCAAGAGTGGATGTAGGGCCATGTGGTGGGGCAGCTTCTGTGTTTTAGCTTTGGAGCCTTAAGAGGGTGAGGATTCTGGCCGGGCGCGGTGGCTCAAGCCTGTAATCCCAGCACTTTGGGAGGCCGAGACGGGTGGATCACGAGGTCAGGAGATCGAGACCATCCTGGCTAACACGGTGAAACCCCGACTCTACCAAAAAATACAAAAAACTAGCCGGGCGAGGTGGCGGGCGTCTGTGGTCCCAGCTACTCAGGAGGCTGAGGCAGGAGAATGGCGTAAACCCGGGAGGCGGAGCTTGCAGTGAGCTGAGATCTGGCCACTGCACTCCAGCCTGGGTGACAGAGGGAGACTCCGTCTCAAAAAAAAAAAAAAAAAAAAAAAAAAAAAGAGAGTGAGGATTGCTTTGGGTGGGTGGTTTGCTTTACGGGGCCTCCCTTTCCTCCTATGCCAAAGGTACTGACCTCTCCCAAGGCCGTCGGGAGAATTGAATGAAATCGTATGGTACAGTACTGGGTACATGGTAGGGACTCAATGAATGGTGGCAGTGCTTAACGATGTTTTCTATTTTGCATATAAGGAATCTGAAGTTCAGAGCAGGAGAGTGACTTGCTCAAGCTCACACAGCTCAGAGTGGTCAAGCTAGGATGGAAGCGTAGGTCTTCTAAGTGCTCTGGGATGTGCATTCAGCACAGCCTCCTCACCCCCTCTAATACTGGCCTTGTCTGCCACAATGGAAATGACACAGAAGGTGACATCAACAGGTCCCTTTTTCTCCATAGCCACTGGATCGTGGTGCTGTGGGCTGAGCAGATGATTGATAGGACATCACTGGGCCTGGCTCCAGGAGACTTGGAACGAGATCTTGTCCCTCTCTGGGCCTCAGTTTCCCTATCTGTACCACAAGGGCATTGACTTCCACATGGTCTTTGAGACCTCTTCCAGTTCTGCTTTGTTCTGCTTTGTTTGCACCAGGGTTAGTAACCCTGGGAATGGGAGAGAGGGAGATACTTGAGGCTGATGGGGAGTTTCACAGCAGCCCAAGACCCCAGGCTGTAGGACAGTATGGGGTGAGGGTGATCCTCCTGTACTGGAGATCAAGGATGGGGTGGCCCAGCTGGGTAGACATGAAGCTCCCCCACCCCCACTGGATTGTGAACCTCCTGAAATTAGGGCTGTGACTTGTACATTATAAGTATCACATCCCATTGATGTAATGGATAGAACACTAGCTAGGAGATCAGTAAGGAAATAGAAGACTTTAAAACACTGTAAACCAGCTAGACCTAACAGACACTGCTTTCTAACAGCGATCTAAGAGCACATTCCACCCAACAACAGCAGAACACACGTTCTTCTCAAGTGTACATGGACCATTCTCTAGCATAGATTGCATCTTAGGCCACGAATCAAATCTCAATAAACTGAGAAAAATTGAAGTTACACAAAATATGTTTTCTGACAACAGAGGAATGAAATTAGAAGGTCAAAAACAGAAGGAAATTTGAAAATTCACAAATATGTAAAAATGAAACAACACACTCCTCACTAACCAAAGGGCCAAAAACTAACAAGGGAAATTAGAAAATACTTTGAGATGAGTGAAAACAAAAACACAACATACCAAAACTTATGGGATGCAGTAAAAGCAGTGCTCAGAGGGAAATTTATAGCTGTAAACACTTACATTAAAATAAAAGATCTCAAATCAATAACCTAACCTTCCACCTTACTAAAAATACAAGGGCAAACTAAATCCAAAGCAAGCAAATTAAAAAATTACAGCAGAGATAAACGAAACAGAGATTAGAAAAACGATAGAGAAAAATCAGCAAAACCAAAAGTTGGTTTTCTGAAATGATCGACAGAATTGACAAACCTTTAGCTAAATTGACCGAGAGGAAAAAAAAAAAAAAGAGAGGAAACGGAAATTACTAAAGTCTGGAATGGAAGTGGAGACCTTACTACTGACCTTACAGAAATAAAAAGGATTATACAATTTCACTGATAGATTTGAAAGAAGCTCCACAACGTTTCTAGAGATTGGAGAGAACATCCGGAAATGGTTACCAGTAGTTGCCTTCAGAGAAACAGGGCTGGGGAGGGTGGAGCTGGGGCGCCTGCTTTTTATTATAAGTCCTTAAGGGCTATTTTTGTAAATGCTTTGATTGTAAAATATAAGACACATACAGAAAAGTGGATTTTTTAAAAGTACCGCTCAGTAATTTATCACCAAGTGAATATGCATGAAACCACCACTTGTTCAAGAAGAATATTACCATCTCCCCAGAAGCCCCTCCTGTACTCTATCCAATCCTCCTCCCCAGAGAAAACCACCATTCTGACTTTTATGGCAAATACTTTTGCTTTCCTTTATAGTTTTGCCATCTCTACACACAATAGTTGGGTTCAATTCATGCTCTGGACTTGATAAATCCAATCATGTAGCGGGTCCTCTTTTGGGTCCGGCTTCTTGCATTTTACATTCTGTTTGTGAGATTCCCCTTGTTGCAGGAAGCAATCGTTGGCTCAAATTTTCTTTGCTGTATCATATTCCATTTTATGAATACACCATCATTTATGTGTCCATTCAACTATTGATGGAATGGGCTTTTTAAAAAGCTGTGTGCCTAAAGGTAGGTTGATTAAAATATTTTCAATAAAATGCACTTTTAAAATGCAACTCAACACATGTTAGTTTAATTTCATGCCTCGGACCCTCATTCTCTTTTCTGCTCCAATAAGTCATGAAGACAGCTTGGGTCTCAGAAGAAAATAGGCCATTTAAGCAGGAGCCCAGAGGGAACATATCTGAGAGATGCCCACACCCCCATGGGGTTCTCTCATCAGCCCTTCTCCCCAGATTTTCAGCCTCAGATGGGGGAGGTGACACAGATGGAGAGAAACCACTCTCTCCCTTCCACCTAGGTCTGCAGATTCCTGACACACATACGAGTGTGCACCCAGGCAGACAGGCAAGAGTGTGCCCCCCACACAGGAGCACACGCACGGGCACCTACACATATCCCAGAAGTGGCAGTGCCTGCCGGCACCTGACCAGCAGGCGAGGTCTGTGCACAGAGAAGTTGGTGGAAGAAGAGGAGGGGAAGGAGTGGGGGAAAAATCCCCTCATTTCTGAAGAAATGTCCCAGATTAGATTTGTAAATCAAAAACCAATATATAACATGCAAGAATTGATCTGTTTTATATTCCTCAGTTACATTTTTGTGAAGCACATTTAGAAGATTTAGAACGTATTTGCGCCTGCTGGTTGGGCCATTATATGCTTGAGTTCATACATCTATTTGTGAGGCTATAAAACAGGCATCGACTACCATGTAAATTGTGTTCTCCACAATAAATTATATGCATACTTGCAAAAATACATAACTGCCGTGCCTGGGCCAACGCGGCCAGAATACTAATGAGGGCGAAAGTTGCTTTGTCCCTCTTCTCCGGCCTAATTTAGCCTCTACATCAAAAATTATGTAGGAAAAATCACTTTATCCTCTCACTGAGAAATAAAATAGCACTCATGGGCACCCTCATCTCTTCCCACCCCCCTTCCTTTTAACCGAACACTACCATTTTCATACTAATTTTAGCTGCTCCAGGTTTACAGGGAAGAAGCCTGGCTGAGCTGAAGCTGGGGCGCCAGGGGGCCGCCCGCATGTATGAGAAGGCTGCGGGAGCGGGCACGTGCACACACACACACGCACATGCATACACACGTATGCACATTCCCACCATGTGGTTTGAATTTGCTTGTGCCAGGGCACATTCACAGCATGCACACAGACCTGCATAAATGTGAAGACTCACCCCAGACACGCATGCACAGACACTCCACGAGCATTTGCCCACGTGGCACAGATTCATTCCCTCTCCCCGGTACAGACTCCTATGCACAGAGACAGACAGGAAATTCAGTTCAGTTCGGTTCAATTCAATTCAATCCAGGTCAGTCCAGCAAACACTGACTGAGCACCTACTATATGCCATGGGCTGCACTTGGCATTGGGACTACTGAGATTTTTTTTTTTTTTTTTTAAAGACAATCTCAGGTTATAGCTCAGGGGAAGAGGCAGCTTTAGGAACAAATGCAGACAAGTCAGTGTGCTGAGGGCTGTAGCAGAGGCAGAGAGCATACAGGTACACACACTCACACCCTGCTCACTGTCAGTGTGCATGTTTTCCAGTACTCATATGTGCACACAGAGTCCCTGCACTTACACAGGCACACACCTCACACCACGCAGACTGACGTGTGCATGCGCAACACACACATACACACACCGGTACACTCAAGCATCAGCATAGCCACCTTCCCCCGGCACCACACCGCATGCTGGTGCCTGCCTCACCTCTGTCTTTCCTGCAAGCCCAAGTTAACCTCACGCCCTGTCTGGCTTGCCCTGCCTTGGGTTCTGTTGCTCCCTGTCTATCCTGGAAGCAGAGCCACTTCCAACACCAGGCTGGCTAGTGTTGCTCCCACTTCTCCAGGGACCTGCCCAAGGTTCCATCTTGCTGGGAGCTTCAGAGGGCTCACAAGAGGAAGGAGAAGTAGATACAGGAAGATCTCGTTTCCATGACCTCAGGCCAATCTCTGCCCTGTCCCGGGCCTCAGTTTACCCTTTTTTTTTTTTGAGATAGAGTCTCACTCTGTCACCCAGGCTGGAGTGCAGTGGCATGATCTCGGCTCACTGCAACCTCCGCCTCCCAGGTTCAAGCAATTCTCATGCCTCAGCCTCCCAAGTAGCTGGAACTACAGGTGTGCACCACTACACCTAGCTACTTTTTCATATTTTTAGTAGAGATGGGGTTTCACCATGTTCACCAGGCTGGTCTCGAACTCCTGACCTCA